TCCATCCATCCATCCATCCATCCATCCATCCATCCATCCATCCATCCTGAAAGGTCACTACTTTGATCTACCAGATCTCATGACCCCACCATGAAAAGAAGCGCTCCGTTTTTGCGGCCACCAGGACGCCTTGGTGGGTGGAGGATCTCTTCCTTTTGCCCGCTGAGAAGGCGGCGACGGCGACAGAAAAAATGGGCTCACTCCTTCGCTGTGGTAGAACAACACACCGGAAGTTGTGCAATGCCCTTCTTGCTATTCTGGCCTGGAAGAAGGTCGACTGGGTCGACTGCCCATGGCTGCCTCTCCATGGCACTCCCAAAAATGAGATTGAAGTGAGGCAGCCGACTTCGAAAGTCACAGGTTCCATTTGCCACGCCTTTGCCGACCCAACCTGTTTGACCATGTGGCCTGTTTGGTTCACCTCTGTCAATTCTGCAGGCGCACTTGCTGTGGGGTGCTGAGATTGGATTTGATGATCCGGGGTTTGGAGATGAGACTCTGTCATATCATGAAACACTGAGATGAGACTTGCTGTGTGGGATGGGTAGACGCGAATGGGATGATACCTGTACATGCCATGCCACCTTCAAGGCCTGCGTCTGGCATTTCTGATCGGTGCTGAGCAATGCTTTGCGCCTCTCTGCGCCGGCTGTTTCTCTGTTCAACAGATCTTCCAAGGTGGTGCAACCCCCCCAAGGTCGTGAAACCCATGAATTCGATTCGCGGAAGCGCAAGCAGTTCCATCCCCTGGGCCCCGGGGTTTGTGCGTGAAAAGTGGACAACAGAAAAGAAGGTGAATGGCCTCCATAGACCCGGGTCGAATGGCCTGGACTGGACCTACATGGGCCATTCCTCGGAACCAGGCTCAGGGTGGTGAAATGGTACACCAAGCACCTGGTCGCCCATCAGTCGAGACATTCCCAAGGCTTTGCCTGGTCTGTTGGGCTGCTTGCTGCGCCTTACAGCGGCAAGGCAGGTTCGCGGTTTGCGCGGAGTTGGGGCTTGGGATTCGTCACCCAGCACTCTTGGCGATGGAGTTTGACAGATTCTAGCAGGGTTTCAAGAACATTCTGACACCAGAAAAAGGGGGAAGCATCGCGTCTACTCAAGTCCCATCGTCAATCGCCAATGTAGCTCCATGTCAGGTTGATGGGTGTCTCCGTGTTCGGTAGGGGCGATGCCGATGCTGCCAGGACGCGGCCTCAAGGACGGGTCACGGGTCACGAGATGGGGGGAGGGGTGCAGGGGTGGTGCAGGGGTGGTGCAGGGGTGCTTGAGTGACCTGGTTTTGCGTATCACGTCATTTTTTAATTTCCCTATGGGTGTAAATCCCCTTCTAAAGATGTATTACTCTCTTTTTGGTTCCTTAATGTCCGAGCTTTTGCTTTTCGATGAGAAAGGACTTTCGCAGTCATGTGGTCGGATGTGAGAACAACGGATTCTATATTCTTTTTCTGCATGCAGAGGTGGGGGTTATTCTGTCAAATTTCTTTTGACTTTTCGAGGAGGCGCTCCACGCGGTGGAGGCCAGCGCTCCCCACAGCGCTCCCAGGACATGGAGATCTCCTTGCAAGAGATCTCCCAGACAGTGGAGGGCCAGCAGGGACCCCCACCGTTCCACCATGTCTTGGAAACCGAAACGGAGGACGCCGATGGAACCCGGATGGATAGGTGGGGTGGGTGGAGGGATGTGGCTTTGGGTGGAGGGATGTGGCTTTGGGTGGAGGGATGTGGATGCCAAGATTGTCGAGGCTGTGAAATGCCAAAATATGCCACAAATGCGAAAATTCGATTCGAGGTACTCGTAGCAGAATCGACTCTGCGGTTTCAGTGTGCACTGCTTGAAACAGTTGGTTCAGCTGAACTTTTGTTCCCCTTTTTTTGGCTTCATCCTGATTCCCCAGCTGAAGCAGGTGCTGAGCATGGAGATAGCTTTTTGATGCTATGTGTTCTTGGTTGCAATGAACAAGTGTTGACCATTGGCTTATACCCCTAAGATTGCCCAGGCCTAGCTGCCTAGCCAGCTTGTCCAAATCCAGATTGGCATCAGAATTTTGGAGAGGTGGTTCCCAACTCTCCAATCTGATCCATTTTCTATCCAAAATTCCTTTGATCCATTTGGCATCCTCCATTTGGCATCCCGTAAAACCGTCACACCTTCGCCTCGAAGAGCTGAGGCGCCAGCAGCTCCGGCGTGGCCAGGCTCTGAAGGAGACCCACATGGAAGACATCAATCCCAGTTTTGACTGGTTTGTTTACCTGTGTGTAGGAGGCTCCCAGACCACATGGAAGACATCAACCACATGGTGTTGATGATAGAAGACATGGTGGTTCGCTGTGTGCGCTTGCTCTTGGTGCCACAGGAGCGTTTGGAAGAGAATAGCCGTCGCTTCGTATGCCTGGCCCCAAGCACTGGCAAGCAGTCGGCGTGGGAGGTAGGCATGAATCCCAGAAAACATGTATCCAAGAGTGAGGCCAATCAGTGTGAATGGCGGCCAAGGCCGCAGCCTCCAGCAAGCAGAACGGTGCGACGGGAGGGTGGCCGCGTGTGTCGGGCACGTCACTGATGCCAAGCCCTTGTATATTTGTCCCTTGAACTTGAGCATCCATGCACTACTTGTACCAAAGAGCCAGTTCCAAAGAGCGGTTTCACATGAACAAAAGCCAGTGGCCTTGGTAGCATGTTCTTCCCGTCGGCCCCCAACCGTGTCTCACAGTTCGACTCTGCAAACGCGACAAAAGTATCCACATCGAAAGAAAGAGCACGAACCCAACGGATGTTCCAAGCAAACCAAGTGCAAACGGAGAATCCACGTCCTTTCCGGCACGAGTCGCTCCCGGGGGCGACGAACGCCCAGTGGGTGCAGGTGGCTCCTCAATGCCGTGTGGCAGGCTTGGTCGCGCCAGAGCGAGGCGGGAGCGCCGGGACGTGGCGCGCTCGTGGCGTTTTGGGAAACCCAAGAGCCTCAAAGTATCTCAGAGTCGTTTTTTTTTCCGTTGTGGTTCCGGCGCTAGAACTTTCTGAGCATTTTTTCTGGTCACGCGGGCTGGAGAGTATCTTAGAGCACGATCTTGAAGGGAGGGCTGGTTGACGAAGAACCGTTTCAATGAAGTTGAATTCATGGGTCGACCAGGGCGTTCGACCGCCGGCGTCGTTCGCTAGAGATAGGATCAACATGGATCAACCGGGACCCTGCTGGTATACCATGGCAAAAACGCGGTTTTGATATGTTTTGATGGGTTTTGATATGGTTTGATGGGTTGAATGGAGGCCTGCCAGACTTGACTTGCCGCCTCCCCAGCTTTGTTGGTGTGCTCTTCTTGAAGGCTCGGAAACTGAAAATGGGGCAACCCCGTATTTGGTGGAACAACGAAACCGCATGCTCCGAAACCGATATGGCTGTCCAAGTGGTGCCACCTTGCGCCACCTTGTGGAGCCTTGCGGGAAACCATGGTATAGTGTGCAGCTGTGTGCTGTGTATGCACTTGAATTGGACACCTCTGAGTTGCCCGTTGCCCCGTTTCATTGGTCGTTGACTGTAGATCGGCTACCTCTAAGGGGCATCTAAAGTGTTATCAACAGTACCAGGATTCCTTATGCATCTGTCCCAAAATGCTCTTGCAACGCTCTTGCACATTATCAAACAAACACATATTGCTCACTTTCAAAACGGACATCAAGTCTAACAGTCTAACATCAACTGTGCATGATGGACCCATATTGACCCTAAGACCTCTGTGAGTCATTCAAGTATATCTCCTGCTCTACCCTCTGCTTCATTCAGGCCACCCGCCGTGCACGCCAGCGGCTCATCCGTTGGCTGCCCGAGCGGCTCAAGCAGCAGAACGCCCTGCGCGGTGCCCTCGAGGCCGGTTGAAAAACCGGCGGTGCCCGGCGAGGGACCGGTCGTGTGCCGGTATGTTCCATGGATGGCACCTGTAAGGATCAAAAAGGATGGCACCTGTCTGTGGCACCTGAGGATCAAACTGAAGATGGTGGTGTGCACAGTGTGTGCTCGGTGAAAGCTCACAGTTGTGCCTGAACAGCTCACAGTTGAGTTAGATATCCGATGGGTGACACTGACGACCTCCTGATCGGCGTCTTCTTTTTTGTGGTCAGGAAACGTAGGAAAGACCTGTTGGAGGGTCCATGGAAAGGTATGAAACACAGATGAACAGCAACAACCGGTGACTTGGTCTGACAGGGTTCATCGGTGGCAGTTTGGAGATGGAGGTTCATAGTTCGCAGACCTAGAGGCGGCGGGCGGCGAAGGGTCTCTCAACAGACCCAACAATTGGAGTTTGTTTTTTTGGTGGTTTTTGAATCCCAGGCAAAACATTAGAACATACGAAACCCACTTCTGGCCATGGTAAAAAATGTGCGCAGAAACCCACAAAGAGCCCCGGGGCAGAGAGGCCTGGCTCTCACTGGCGCAAGAGGGACGCCGAAAGCAGCAAGCCCTGCGACGAGGCCATGGGTTCCTCTGTGTCGAAGGTCTTTGGAGGTGTCAAAGGGGTGGGTGACAGGCTGGTGGGTGACAGGCTTCCTTCTGAGGAGAGAGGTGGAGTCGTCGGGTTTGTATGTTTCAGCGGGTGTTCGGACAAACTCTGAGGAAAAAAGACGTGTGTTTGTTTGGAGAGGTGGTCCTGCCTACACTGGCAAAACAGACGTGCATCACGCTATCTAAAAAAAGGGCATGCTTCCTGGTAGCACGGAGCAGTGGACATGCTGCGCAGCCTCATACTTCATTTTCCAGGACTCATAAACACTCATTTTACATGAATGATGCCCTAAGGTCATGTTAGGAATTGTCAGGGCAGTTGGGATGAATATGACATTTATAATATATATATATATATATATCTATCTACTGTAGCTTCATTCATGAGTTGGCCAGACATGGCCAGACTCCATCTGCATCCATCTGCCGCCGCTGAACGATGGACACTTCACCCACGCCGACTGGGGTTTTTTTGCGGGGGTCGATCGCCGGCGGGCGGATCGACCGAGGCCAAAGAGCCATCGTCCGGTGGCAAGAGGACCTCAGGCGGTTTGTTCGTTTTGGACCGGGCTGGGAAGTGGGGTTTCTGGTGGGGGAGAATTGGGAACAGGGTGAGTTTGGCTGGAACTGGAATGCGGTAGGGGGGACACTTGGAGAGTTTTGTTTCAAGTTTACGCTGGATGTTGTCACCACAGTAATCCACAGTGTTTGTTGCTTCCGCAAGACCGAAGTCTCTAATGTATTGAAGCCAGGTTGTTTTGCGGAAGCCCTTGCTTCCGCGAAACCAATCCACACTCGACAGATGCATGCTTGGGGTTTTGCTGCGTGGGGATAGCTGACCTCTGGGTATTCACCCAGGCACCATCAGGCACACATCATCTCAGAAATCAGTGGTTTGGACCTTCTACAGTATATCCTACAGTGGTTTCTGCTATGTTTTTGCTCCGAAAAACCGAACTCTGCATCCATCACATCAGGGTGCGCGCGTTCGGTTCGTTCGCTTCGACGAACGAACGGTGTCGTGCTGAAACGAACCGGTGCGGAAGACGGACAGGGAAACCGAACGCGTGCAGGTCATGGAGTCTGAGCAGCTGGAGGCAGACGCTGCGGGAACAGAAGGCCGCTTGTTCCCGCATCGGTCGGGTTTTGCGCGTTGGTGATTGTTCTTTTCCGATACTTTTCCTTGGGTGAATCTGGGATGGATTGTTCACATGTGTTTTTTTTTGGCGTTCCGTAAATATAAGCAAATCCCAGATGGAGAATTCTGTATTCGTACAGGATGTTGGGATCCGTTCGGATTTTTTTGAGCAGGAAACATATCACCAGGTCAGCAGGCTGTAGCATTTTTCCAGGGGAAGGACATGGAAAGGCTGAGTTTTTCAAGCCACAGCCCAGTTGAGAAGGTTGGGATGCCTGTGGTGCTGATATAAAACTGATGCTTCATCAATGTCTACTGTGGTACTGATGTTCCGTCCAACGTCACCCCTCTGACCGTACCACCACACAAACTTGAAGAGCACGTCGTACAGTCTTCCTTGTGTTTCTTGTACCGTAGCCATCCAAGACCCTTAAAAGACATTCAAAAGGTTGATCTGGCTCCAGACTGGAGGTTCCCGAACGAAAACGAAACGAGCAAGCAGGAGACGAATTGCAAACGCGGAGCCTGTCTATGTTTCTCATAGTGTGGGAATGTTATCATGCATGGAAAAGGGATGAACATGGATTTAACAAAAACGTGCTGTGAGAATTGCATCCTTTTTCAATGCCGCGTCAAGATACGTAGGTGGGACACGGAAGCCTTAGTCTACAAGGGGCTGTTTTCATCTCCCCAGTCAAGGTGCGGTTTCATGATTCTTACAAATGTCATTTCATGTTCAGGAACGTCTAAAACATCCCATTGCCACAGCAGAGAAGAAAGTGGCATGGGGCTTCTTGTCTTTGTCCGCAAGTAACATGGATCTTTTAGGTTTGCAGTGCTTGTTACAACGCATCACGTGGCACCACGCATGCAAAGGCATGCCTTCTCGTAACACCAAATCACCTGCACGTTTTCCTCGGATTGCGTTCTGATAGCCGACCTAATCTCCCTAGTGGCTGGAGAGGGGGACCCTAGCCTATCTAAATACACACCTTGGTGGAACCTCATGTTACGTAGACTGAACCTACATCACGAAGATTTGTTTGCGTAGTCATTCCCTCATTCTACATCACCGAGCAGATCATGTGACAACGAACGTCACCACTTTGGCGTCCGTTTCGGGTCTGGTCGCCTGGGTCTCGCGTCCATCTACCCCTCGTGAGACGACGTCAGGAGGTGGCGCTGCGACGACGCCAGAGCGAACGCAGGACGACGCGGCCGGGGGGGACGATGTCCCACGGCGGTGGTGCACCCCGATGCAGGCTGCATATGTGCTTGATCAAAGTTGACACTAGAGATGGTGTGCATGGGTGTGTAAAATTTCAGATGAATTAGCTGAATTCAGTCAGAAGCTTTGACTAGTGCACTCGGGCAGACTGGCTCCAAGGAAGGATTCAGATGATTTACTGTAGAGTTCAAAAGCCATCATCCAGAATCATCCAGCATGGAAACTGGATGAAACCGGTCTGTGACCAGTGGGGTCTGGGGTTCGACCATGCGGAACCAGATCTTCAGGACACCATTCTGATTCAAGTGGCCTTGTCTACACTCCAGTGGCGACAGCAGCCCACGGAGGGTGGAAGTGGCGCCCAACGCCCACGCTGGTTGGATGGTTGATCCATGCCCATGTTTATTGAACAATCAGATGGAGTGCTCCCCTGTGGGCATCTAGGAAAACGCGAGTGACCAGTGAGTTCCCATCCTCTCCCAGCATCCCACTCACCCATCCGTCCCACTCCGTCCCACTCTCGGCTTTGGATGATTCCGTGGGGCATGACCCACCTGATTCATCCTGATTCATCTTGATTCATTACCCACCTGATTTTCAATATCTGTCTCTTGCTGAAAACTGACTCTCCATCCAATGGCGACCTTCGGAAGAAAGGCGGACGTGGGCCGAGCGACGCTGTGGCGAGCCCTTTGGGCCGCACCGGGGTGGGCGGCAGGACCGGCATGGCCCTTGTGACCTGCCAGAGTTTCTCAGGGGTTGACGATGGCCTCCACCCTACTAGCGATGGCCTCCATGAAAACCAACTCATACAAGTCGTAGATTCATCAACCTCAAGTCAAAGCCTGAGTCCCACGCCCGAGCTGACGTCATTCCTGATGTCTCATTGTGTTGGCTAGTAACAAGAAGCTACTAGGTTGGAGGCCATCGCTATTAGTAGGTTGGAGGCCATTACTACTATAGCAACAAGAAGCTAAACGGGTATTTGTTGAGGGGTCGTGATGGGTTGTGTCCGTCACCAGTGGAGTGCACAACTGAATATGAGATTCGTTCACGTAGCACAACAGGATGAACGTGTGGAGCTCTGAACCTTGTGTGACTTCCAAACCGACCGACCCCCAACACTCTGGATGTGTTATCCAAACCTACACTCCATCCAACCTTGTCCCCTATCCCGTACACTCTGTAATGAGACATACCACAACATGACCTTGCGGACTCCCATGCGACACGTGTCAATTCCAGCCCCGGTCTGTCCAAATGGTCGGACTGGGGTGCCTGTTTGCCTGTCCTTCTGCCAACATCCAATAAAGTCATAGACCTGGTAATGAGAAGGAGACAAGAGCAAAACTCATCTTCACAGCTTCACAGCCACCATACCAGCTTACCTGCAGGCCGCATCCACCTTTCCTTGCAACCGATTTTGGGGTTGATACGCTGCACCGGACCGCAAAACCACCCACCGGACCGCATGTGCTTCCGCTTCCGCGGTACACCACCCACCGGACCGCGTTCGGTCAAGCAACCGCCCAGCCTCATCCCATTCATAGATAGCCTTTTACACTATTGGTTGATTATTTGATTATGTTGATTAATAGAGTGGATACCTCTAAGTGAAAAACCAATATGACCACATCGACCCGTCTATTCCCAGTTGGTCGATGTTGGTTGGACATCACCCCTTGGGTGGAATCCGAGGTGCTCGTTGCAGCTGCTGAGATGGACTTGGGACGCCTGGAAGCTTCACCTTCGCCACGCCCAAGAGCGCCCGGAACGCCCGGTCTCGTTCGCCGGTGTGGAGCTGGTGAGGAGGGACGAATCGCCGAAGGACTCCGAGAATCTCCTGCCCGGAATTCGTCCATAGATGGCTCAAATGACCTAAGTAATGACCTAAATTAGAACGGTGGTGGAAGGAACATGATGACAGACAATGGTTGGGAAGCCCCTTGTGATCGATTCTCAGGACTTGAACCTGAACTTCACAAAAGAGGTATCTCCACCTTGCTGACCCAAATAGACCTGTTGGAGACCAGGCTTTAAAGTCCAGGCTTTCTTCTGTTGGAGATGTGTCGGGACCCGGGTCACATGTATCCTTCGTTCGGCACTTGCTCATGTATCCTCCACGCTTCCGTCCTTCGACCCTACACGATGGGTGTCTGAACCGTTGACTTCGACCTACCGGGCGCCGCGTCCAGGTGCAAGGCGGGTCTTCTCTCACGTAAGCCTGGGAGACGAGCGACAACAGTGGCACTTGGAGCTTCAGATGTGCGGAGACCTGGGGTCGCTTTCGGGTGGAAGCAAAGAACTGAGCTTAGTAGCTGTAGCATACTGTTAGCTTACTGTGCTACTAGTAGCGATGCACTTATTACTGGTTACTATGTTTAGCTTCTTGCTACTAAAGAATGGACAGTTTCGTTAGTTTCGTTACAATAAATCCTTTTGAAGAGGCGGAGACGTCTACAAGACCTGGTTGCACTGCACTTTGCGACTAGCTAGTTCAACTGCTGTTTGTAGTGAACCCTGATGTCCATTTGTTGTGTCAATGACAAGCATAATGACTGCTGGAAGAAAGGTTGACCAAATGTACTTGCCAGTGCTTGTTCGGACATGTTGGGACAACTTTTGGCCCGCTGGATGTTTGTTTACTATCCCTTTGTAGCAGCTTTGTGTAAGCCGACAAAAAAGACACGATTTGATTCTCAGAGTCTAGGATTGGTGGGATACACAAATTAAAGATGTTTGAAAGAAGAGAATATGGGGATAAACTTCCACATTTCATTGGATGCACTCCACTTGTCCGAAGCCAAACCCCTCCGGTGTGTAGAAGCAGCACCCATGAATTCTGAATACTTGCAACATCTTGTAATTCAAAAACAGGGGACATCCACAGGTTTTTGGTCGATTTCTTGCTGTTACGCATGGGTTTTGGGGTGCGCGCATGAATTTTTAGCCCCATGCAGCATGCATACCTAGAGAACCTCCACAAACTCCTTTGGCGATATTTCACATTTCACGCCTGATTTGTCTTGGGAAAACACTGTGTCTTTGACTGATCGGTGCTCCAACTTGGGCCTAGGGGCTCTCAGGGTACTCGTTACTTCTCACAGATGTTCTTCATCTCCTTCTGCAGCCTTGCCGGGCTCCCGGCGGCCGTGGTCGGCGTATGTGCGCGGACTCGGGCCATGGGGGTAGCTGGCGAGGTGGGCGGGTCCGGGTGGGGCTCTGGGTTCGGGCACCATCAGAGTATCCATCCTCAGTCCAGCTCTGACAGTGATAGGTTATGACTACCAGGCGTGCAGGGACGGATGTAGTACACGGATGTAGTACTACAGTGGTTGCGAGTCTACCCCCCAAAACCATCGAAAGACAAAGGGCTTCGTGTTGCTTGGTCGGGTGTAAACGGGTGGGGGACCATCTTTCACTGCCTGATCGGTGGTTTTTAGTGGCAGGTTGGAGGGTTCAAATACAATACTTGGATTTTTCCAAGGCAGCCATATATGATATATATGAAGAGTTTCAAAACCCTTGGCCTGGGATGATACATCCTGAATAAAGATGTATGTGTTCACAGTTCATAACAATACTTTGAGGATCTTTGAGGGGAGGTCAAAACACCAGCCAGGAAAGACTTGTTGATCCTTTTCCATCTCTCAAAGCAGGGAGGGACCCGCTGGGACCCCGAGAAGTCTTCAGAGAAGCGGTTTTCCGAATCGTGCAAGTGCTCGCACGGAGCTTACTTCGCTCCGTGCTCGTCTTGGGACACAAATCATGATCCTCAAATCGCTTGGACGGTGGTGAATCCCTTTATTTCAGCACAAACAAATTCAAAAGCTCATGAGGTCAATTAGATGACCGCAATCCAGACTGAACATCCTGGGCGAGTCCACGGTGGGGGCACCTGAGAGATCCAATTATCCCTGATATGTCGGGTCGAAGGGTCCCTATTTCCATCCATTCAGTTGCATCCCTTCCGGACCTGACGATCGATTTCAAGAGTTCTGGAACATATGCTGCAGAATCTTTCAACAACTCTGCGACCAGAAATCCAACGGACCTCCCAACGACCGGACCGCGCAGAGCGCGCGCGAAAACAGCGACCCGCTTCCCGTCGTCGCGTGGTCCTCCCGGTTTGCAGCGTCGGAATCGGCCGAACGGCTCCGAACGGGCACACCGAACGGCGCCAGACCTCCGTCTGATGAAGACGTTGCTCCTGGCCTGGTGCTTCTGTTCCGTCGCACACGCCAGGCGCGGGGGGGGGGGGGGGGGTCCCCGGGTGGGAAGGGGGCGGAGGAACAGCGTTGTCCCACCCGGTGGGTCAGACGTCCTGGTCGCGGTGAAGTCCGAGCGTCGCGGGTTTTCCCGAGGTTCGTTGGGATGTTGTCCGGATGTTGGGATGCTTTCCCGATGAATTCCTTTCGAGAAGGAATATTTTTCAATTGTTGTTCATTGTTTGTCCTTTTTGCTGGTTCCTTAAGACTAAGATCTTTCTTTGCAAATCCAAGTATAGATGGAATTCACAGTGGTCTTATGACTTATGGGTTTGGTTTGGTGGGCAGGTGGCTCCTGGATTGAAGTGTGGAAAAGCCACAACATTCTACACATTTGTTCCGAGAACATCTGCGGTCCTCGTGCGGAGTCTGACCCTTTGTTGTAAGGAAGATATCCGCTCCCTTCGTGAACTTAATTGGCCAACTGTAGTACGGATGCGGCAGAGCTCACATTCACAGGCCATGTCGCATGCCTGGACCGGGGGATTGCTAAAGGTTTCGCTGATGAATTGACCAACCTTTTGCAGGGGATGAACATCCAGTGACAAGCTATGTGGGATCTTCAATGATGTTGACAAAGAATACCGAAATTTAGCCACAGCCAGTAAGTTTGCTTTTCCCTTCTTTGGGGGGTTCATTCTCCTGCTCCTTTGATTGATTAAGGGTCTCTCTTTTGCACATAGGACCCTAAGGGTCAAGTAAATGCCGGCCAAGAGTGCGAATGCACACATTTTGCCTTCAGGGCTACGCAGTCAGCCGGGGAGCTCATTTGATTGATGCAGAAAAGACACTCCCCCGAAAGCCCAACTAAGCACGACTGTTCTTGGAGTCTCTAGTCTCATCTCGATGAGAGAGAAAGGGAGGGAGAGTAGTGCTATTTTGATGTCTTCTTCCCAGCTCTTCACAAGTTTCGGAGCATTTATCTGAGGCACGTTCTGACACACATGTTTCAGATGACTATTTGTTGGGGTCTTTGCAGACAAGCCTTCGCTATCGGCAGGAATCCTGAGTGGGGGATTGTGATACAATCCGATGTTTACGCTGATGCGGGTATGGACACCATAGTGGACTCACCAGGACTGGAAATCATTGGAAATCCATCCAAAGAGCATTTCCCTTGTCCGTATATTATGTTCCTTTCAAATAGAGTCGCTTTGGGCAAGCCTTTATGTTTTAATTACCCACAATGACAAACATGCTCAATCACCAGGCCACTGTGGTATATCTTGGAGAAAAACACAATTGGATAAATATGTAAACAAGAGCTGCAAATGGTCGAGAAGTTGATCGTGTGTTAAATGCTTCACATCTTCCAAGGCCAACTGTTGAAATATATATTTGCTCCTTCCTAGACACCTCTAGTCGCTCTACAGGATGGGTGAATAGACAAGCAGTGAAGTTGACATGTGCATTTTTACTCAGAAGCACGAAGAGATCTGCCGTAGTGCCGTAGTGCTCCACTCACTTGTTGGACCTAGGCTTCTTGTTACTAGTAGCACTTGCTCCTATAGTAGTAGGGCCAGGAGCCCGTAGTAGCGTCCTTGCTCCTAGTAGCGATGCCAAGAGCCCCTAGTAGCGATGCCGTTGCTCTGGACCTAGAAACCATCCCTTGGAACCTCAGTAGGTGCATTTGTGCTATGTTTGCTCGGTGTCGCTCGCGCGTCAACTCCAAGGCCCATCGAAGCACAGGTTTGGCCACAGGCGCCCTGGCCGTCGGGCGGTGGGAAGGTTTCCAGCTACAACAGCGAACACCAAGCACTTTGCGAACACAGGTTACACTCAACATGGAACTAAGATGGAAGTGGAAAATTGCCTTTTGGAAGAGCATACTCCTCTACAAGCAAGGCGGTTGGGGTACTTCCATGATCGTTCTAGGAGAGCTTTTTCTCCCTTCCACAGAGGTTGTTTTTCACGTCCACAGAGGCTGTGTCACTTCTGATCAACAAACCTTGTGACTGGCGACAGTACGATGGGTAGGAACAGAGAGTATAACGTGATCCCCAAATGGATAGAAACCATGTCCGATGCATTTTTAGTAGGGGAATCTACTTATTTTCTATCTATTTAGGTTCTTCTTTAATCTACAATGACCTCTCCACCGGAGGGTAGGAGGGATGACTGACTCTTCACCTTCGCCTGCCTCAAGGGGACGATGACGAGTTGGATGTGTCCGGCCTCCCGAACGGCAGAGGGACGGACCGCTACGAGCGGAACGTTCGGCTCAGCGAAGCGAAGGAAGGGGCTTTCCCCCTTTGAGTTGTCAAACAGAATCCACATGGAGACTGCAAAGTACTTCAGCTCAAGAGGGACCAGCAGTTTTTGTTGGGAGATGCACCTTTCGCCCTTGGGCCCTTTGGGAACGCAAGAAAGATCTGCCCTGGAAAAGCATGTCAGAGGGCTCTAAGTACCTCCCCTAGGGGCTGAACATCATCGAGCATCACAACTTGGAACTAGGCCACTCTAGCCTCTTGCAACCATCTACATCATCCACATCAGTTAGGTCCTCGAATCAGGGTAAGATCTTCAAGATCTTCAGATCAGATGGATTACAGCATGGAACATCTCATGACTCGTGACTATTAATGACTTATGAATACTTATGATCATCATGACTCATATCATACCCCGAAGATACCCCACTCGCGGTTCCGAGGTCCACGGCCCTGAGCGATAGCGACCTGGCCGACCTGGCTGGAGCGGCTCCACAGGTGCGCGGGAGCGGCTCCGGTGGTAGTATGGCGCCTTAAAACGAGAGAGCGTAGCTCTAGAGGTATCATTTCTGGTAGGAAAGACACACAGGAAAGACATAGCTCTAGCGACTACGTGCTACTAATTATTACTAATTACATAGCTCAAGGTGGCATGCCCACCTCTCTTGTTGCCTGCTGGGTTTGACATGAGGTGTTCTGGACTGTTTTGAGTTTCTACAAAGTATATAGTATATTATAACTATTGACAATCATTTGATGAATGAATGTTAGGTGATCAATAGTCAGATTCAACTGAACTGTTCCCAGTGGTGAAATGTCGGGGTCTTCCCAGGCTTGTGATGGATCTCCATCTCGACACGAACAAAGTCGGATTCAGAAACTGCACTGTATTCAGAAACTGGTCTTCAGAAACTATTTCGTTGTATTCAGAAACTATTTCATCGTATTCAGAAACTATTTCGTCGTATTCAGAAACTATTTTCGTCGTATTCAGAAACTATTTTCGTCGTATTCAGAAACTCTTTTCGTCGTATTCAGAAACTACTGTCCCTCATGCTCAGAAACTTTTATTCCCAAACTAGGGGGCGATGTGAACAACCACCTGCGTGGTCAGTTGATGCGTTCTCTTGTATTCAGGGTGGGGTGGGGGGGGGTGGGGCTGGGGCAGTAAGCTTCCGTAGGTGGTTGTGTGGACCAATGCTTTCGTGGGTTAGGGTGGGGTGGGGGGGGGAGGTGGGGGGGTGTGGGGCTGGGGCAGTAAGCTTCCGTGCATTGTTGAGGCCGGTGGCATTGTCGAGTTTCCGAATCCAAGCGGCCAGTTTCCAAATACAACCGTGTAGTTTCCGAATACCAGTTTCCGAATACAACCGTCGAGTTTCCGAATACAACCATTCCAGTTTCCGAATACAACCGCCGAGTTTCCGAATACAACCGTCGAGTTTCCGAATACAACCGTGACCATCTCGACACAGCTCTGTGGGCATGTCCGCAATCATAGCCATGTGATGCTGTGTGATGCCACGGTGCTCCGCAACAAAAGAACGTGCCATAAACTCGCACCGGTCACCACTGTTTGGTACAAGAACATCCAAAAATACCGCTTCTTAGGGTGTGTCGCGAAGGTGGCTTGATTCCTCTCGCCCCAACGAAACCCGGGACCTGTGCCCGGCACGTCCTGGAGCGCTCCAGGCAACCGGGCCGGGGTCTCTCAGCGGTGCGGGCGTTCGTTTTCAGGGCCAAGAAGCATCGACTGTTCATCGGCTGGGTCGATCTGGGGGACCGTTGATCATCTAGACAATCCTCAGATGAACTGGGATGATGTTTGAGGCCATCTCCAGACAGTTGGTGCTCAAGGACGTCTAACTTATGGGGCGCAAGAATGTCCAAGAGCCATCCTCATGCTCTAAATACCCACAAGGATTCCTGCTGATCAAGAAGAAGTAGGGCACGTTTCACATTGTTCAGCATTTCCCACTTCCAAATTGATCATGCCAAAGCCCTTGCATCTACATCTACATATTGTGCAATGTGGGATGAACAAAAACACCTACACCACACCCGGCCGACCCGCGACGTCCCAGACCTCCGTTCATCCCGCCGCCGGGCCTTGCCGACCTCCGCCAAGGCCGAAGGATGACTTCGACCAGGTGCCAGAGATGCCTCGCTTGCAAGCCCCCAAGGCGACGCCCATTGGATTCTTTAGAAACATAGGGTGAAGTTTGATAATCGGCCGCGGTCTTTCGGCCCACAGCTCTCGCGCCTGTGGTGGATGGCCTTGTGCAATAAGTGCCATCAGGCACCGTCGATTGGGTCGGATTCGTGGTGCGTGGGTTGCGCTGCACTCGAGATAGTGCAGGAGGAGTTGAAAGGGCGCTGGGGGTCAAGCGACCTTCGAAGAGCGGCCAACGATTGGTTGGTGGATCTTGGGCGCCAGATAAAGGTCTTGAGGGCACTATCTCTTCGGCTGCAACCCGTTGTTCCTCCTGGACTTGAAGCTGGTCGGAAAGGAGGTGCCGGCTGCGAGGGTGCTACACCCAAGGCGCTGGCAGTACCTGCGAGGCAGGAGGCTGAGGAGGAGAAGGTCGCGGAACCCGAGCCTGAGGGATCCTACTCCTACACTTACACCGATTGTGAGGAGGAAGAGGAGCTGGCTGAGGAGAGAGAACCTTTAAGGAGGCCTCCTGCAAAGGAGCCACCGGTACCACCCCCGGCACCGCCACCAGTGGTCAAACAAGAAGAGGAGGAGGAGAAGGCACCTGAGAGGAGAAAGAAGAGCCGAGAGGAAAAGAAGCACAAGGCCCGGAGTTCGCATCGGAAGGGTCACGAGAGGAGAAAAGGTGAGAGAGAGAGGCATCGAGGACGTCGAGGCGGCAGGAAACACCAGCAGGTTCGCCGACGCAGCTCAGATCCCAACGTGAGATTTCATAGGAAGAAGCCGTTGCACGAGTTGAAACGTTTGAGAGAGGAGGACTTTCCAGGCCTCCCCACTCCGCCACCATGTCCGCGTTGAAGGGCATCTTCAACAACTGGCAGGAAGGTGAGGAGTTTGCTATTGAGGATACAGAGAGATGGTCCTTGTTGAACATTGGGTATGGAGACTTCGTCGAACTGTCGCTTGCATGGACCGATTGGTCACCCTCCTCGGAAGCCACCGTTGGTTTTCTCGTAACTGGCCGTACGGTCACTGCGGACGGCGGTATGGCGCTGAGGGCTCGGTTTGTAGGGTCGACCGACCATACATTGTCGAAGAGTTTGTCGAGTCAGTTCAACAGGAGAGAAGGGTTCGTGCATCTTTGCATAAGTCGCCCTTGCACCGAAGCCGAAGAAAGCTTTCTGCGTACCACCAAGGTGAAGGTTTACAGCAGAGAGGGCTTCAATCCACCGTATTTCACCAGTTCACACAAGAGACAAGTTGCGAAGTGGCTGGGAGAGATCGAGGAGGTGGAAGCTGTTCACGAAGATGGGGCCCGAGAGACCGACGAGGGCAGAGCAGACAGGACCATACTCCCGGATTTTGGTGCAAGGGCTGGAGGTGCAAGAGAAGAGGACGTTGTGAGGCAAGAGGATCTTGGAGGTCGAGGTTCGTTGATTGCTGCCCCAAAAAGCCGCGGCAAGCGCCCTGGCGCGCTGCGGTCTGGGTCTGCAGCTCCTGGTCGAGCGCGGGCCCGTGGCAAGGGGATAGCAGGCATCGGTGGCGCTGGGGGGGGATTCACTTCCCGCCGAGGCGCCTGGAAGTCGCACGGAGGTGAGGTCCGAGGAACGACATCGAGGAGTTCGAGAGGAGGTGGACGACCTGCAGCTGGGGTCAGAAAAGGAAAGGGAGGAGATGTCCACCGCCGAGCTAAAGAAAAAGTTGGAGACTGTGAGATTGAAGTTGAGCGGAGCTCCAAGGCCTTCAATTGCCGAACTGAAGAGATTGCCCGCGGAGGACGATGGCGAGGATCTACAGCTGGAAGGAGAGCTCAGTTCAGGCTTTGCGGAGGCTGCGAAGGGCTTGACGAGTGGGACCAGTCTGAAGAGGAGGATTGCCCTAGAGGATACAAGAGGCACTTCTACGAGAGATGTCTCGGAACAACTAGTTCGTCAAGCGCAGCATTTGGCAGCAGGGAAGAACAAGAAGACAGACGAGGAGAAGGCCAGCAGTCATGCAAAAGGAGGAGAGAGAGAGGAGCTGTTGGCATTGTTGAATCAGGTGGCGAAGAGGAGCAAAAGAGAGAGAAAGGACGAAAGGGAGCCACCCAGGAAATCAGGAGAGTCAGGACATTCCAAGAAGAAGAAGAAGAAAAGAAAGAAGAAGGATGGAAAGAAAAACCGAAAGCGGAAGCTTGTGAACGGGGTGTTGATGAGCACAAGCGCCAGCAGCTCAAGCTCCGAGGAAAGCTCCGCAACCTCCCGATCCCTGACAGAAGAACAATTCGAAGCGCCGCTTCGCAAAAGATCCAAAGCGGCACCTGGCTCGGTGCTGAAGTTGCTAGTCCAGAAAGCACAGGACGCATTGGACCAGAGCGCTTTGGTAGAGATGACACCTGGAGCTGCGACACCGATCACCGATGGAGTGAAGTTGACGACCTACTACCAGCTTCACATCAAGCCCCATTATTCTCAGCACAAAGGACCTATGAGAGACATCGCCCTGATGGCAAGGGTGCTGGACACGATCCGAGCAGGGGCCATCGGACGTGGTTGCGACATGTTGGCGGGGCACTTCCTCGCAGCCCATCAAGCGCTGATGGATCAATCGTGGGTACAGGCCAAATATCTCGAGGTCATAGAGCCCGAGGAACAGAATGCCACCTCAGCAGCGATCTTGCTCGAGGCAAGAAAGCATGCCAAGACATCGCTCAAAGCAGAGACCTTCGAAGCCTGGCTCCCAGGAAAAGGTTGGCAGCGACCTTGGCAGGCAAGTGGAAAAGGAAGTTGGCAAGCAGACAAAGGAAAAGGGAAGCAGAAGAAAGGAGGAAAAGGAAAGGAGAGAGGATCTTGGCAAGAGAGAGACGGAAAAGGGAAGAACAAATGGAAAGAAAGTCACGACAAGGGCGAGAAGGAGAAGGAGTAGAGAGGATGCTTGGAGGAGAAGGCTTGACAGTAAATCCCTCTGAAGAGTTGGAGGGTCTGGCGCCACAGTTTGAAGAGAGGATGACAGTCGATGTCGGAAAGGCAGGTTCGGGAGGAGATTTTATAGGTCCGATCCCCTCTGGAAGTTTCCTTTCCGTTGAGGGTGTGAATTCAGAGGTTTTTGAAGATGGCCAGAGCATTTGCTTGGCAGCAGGTCGCAGCATTGCAGATTTGAAGAGTGCAGGTACAGTGTTGGCCTGGCTGCTGGTTCAAGCAACTATGAGAAGAGATGAGGGCCCGTGGCGATGGGTCTCAAGAGTGGCTTTTGAAGCGTTGACGGCCGCAACTGGTTCTGGGGGGCCTTTGAAGGCTGCCTCGTTTCCAATGCGAAGAGGGTTGACAGAAGGCGTTTTTGAGGCCTTGAAGAGAGTTGGACTTAGAGAGGTGAGTTCAGCAGATTTCTCCAACCGCTGGGCAGAGGAGGCCTGGCTATATCTTTGCTTGCAGTCGACCAGCAGCCTGGCAGGGAGCAAGATCCCGCTGGCAGCCGGTTCTTGGACGAAGCTTGAGGAGCGAGGAGCAGCGTCGGCCAAAAGGGCCATAAAACGACTGCTGACGTGTCGTTGCGGACCGCTCCAGGACTTTGAAAAAGTGGCGAGTGAACTCAGGGCAGCCAAAGTAGATTACAACGGGGAGGAAACAGGTGTGTGTGAACCACTCACCCTCAGGCAGGTCATGCCTGCCCTTCCCCCTTTGGGTCATGGGGGGTCGATCGCGTTAGTCGATCTTGTGGGCCCGGCCACGAGAGAGATTTTGGAAAACCCGGAGAAGTTGCTGAAAACTGATTTTGATCATCCCAAACCTAAGATCCCTGGTTCGGTTCATTTCGGTAAAGGTGAACGTTTGGAGGTGTGTGAGGCCTTGGTGAGGTTTGGGATTTGTGAATGGATCAAGGGATCCGAGGTTGTTGAAGTGAGAGGGCAAAGAGTTTTGAATGGTTTGTTTGGAGTGCGCAAGCCAGCAACTCTGGCGTCTGGAGAACCAATCCTCAGGGTGATCATGAACCTAAAAGCAACCAACAGCGTCATGCATCAAATCAGAGGTGCAGTGGAGGGCCTGCCGGCCATTACGGCCTGGCAGGCTGCCGTGTTGGACAACAGTGAAAGCTTTCATTACTATCAGTCGGACATCTCATCAGCATTTTACTTGTTTGAGCTCCCAAGAGCCTGGTTGAAATTCTTGGCCTTCGCGGTGTCCTACCCAGGGGAAACACTGGGAAAAGAAGATGGCGTGATCTATCACCTGGCATGCCGAGTCCTTCCTATGGGAATGCATTCCTCTGTTAGCCTTATGCAGGAGGTGTCCGAGCAAGTCTTGTGGGCGGCCGGCCTGGACCAGCGTGCACAGATCCGAAGGGGCCTTCCCGTTCCCCGTGTTTTGATGGAGACAGCCAAACAAGCTGCTAGAGAACAGAAATATTTCTGGCAGGTCTATTTGGACAACTTCATGGGGGGAGATAGAAGGTCCATAGGTGAGGATGACCAGGTAGGCGGCTCAGTCCACAAGGTTGTTGAAGATACTTGGTCTGCAAACGGAATCATCTCGTCAGAGAAGAAAAGGGTTTCGAATGAAGTGGAAGTTGAGGAGTTGGGGGCTCTCCTGCACGGTGAGATCGGTATTGTGGGAGGAAGTCCCGCTCGCTTTTGTAAGTTGATTCAGGCGACCCTTTGTGTGCTAGGGCAGAAGTACCTAAACAAAAAGATGATCCAAATCATCGCTGGAAGGTGGATCCATGTTCTTCAGTTTAGGCGCCCCGGAATGAGCTTCCTGGATTCGATCTGGCAGTACATTGGGAAACAACACAACGAAGCGGCACTAGCTTTGAGGGCCAAGCGTGAACTGGTGAGTATCATGGGCGCAATCCCCCTCCTTCACACTTTCATGGGTGCAGAGGTTGACAATCAACTTTGGTGCAGTGATGCCTCAGAAAAGGGGGGAGCTGTTGGTGTAAGTAGAAAGCTAACCCCGGAAGGAATGGACTTCGTTATGTCTTCAAGTTTGTCGTCTCGGGTCTTGGGCTCGACACCAATACTTGTGATAGGACTTTTCTCGGGGATAGGGGGCACCTTTCGGATCTATGACGTGTTGGATGTGATCCCGCGTGGAGCAGTGGCAGTTGACATCCATCCTCCGGCAAACAGAATCGTTTCGAGAAGATGGCCGGGGGTGGAAATCTTGCGTGATGTACAATTGATCACTCGAGAAGATGTGGCGAAGTGGCGACGCACCTTCCACACGGTGGAGGAGGTGCATTTGTGGGGAGGTTTCCCATGCCGGGACTTGAGCTCTGCGCGGGCAGGGCGACTCAACCTTCAAGGGAGTGAGAGCAGTCTCTTTTTCGAGTTCGTCCGCATATGGGAATTGCTTTGTGAAGAGTTTCCCTCAGAGGTCGAAATCAAGATTGCAGCAGAGAATGTGGCCTCGATGGATGAGAGTGCCTCTAATGAGATCTCTGAGTGGCTGGAGTGTCGACCATATCATTTGGACCCCTCAGACACGGTTCCCCTGAGACGACCCCGACTTTGTTGGACCAATGCGGATATTCAAGGGTGTTTGGAGGGGGTCTCTTTTGTTGAAGAGAGGCGTTGGACTAGCATTGAGGCCAAGGCCCCATTCCCTTCGGTTTCTCAATGGTTGACCCCGGGGTTTTCATGGCCCGGTGAGAAAGTCGCTCAGTGTTTTCCCACATGTATGCGGGCGGTCTGGAAGGATTCGCCTCCAAGCAAGCCGGCAGGTATCCATAGAGCTGACCATGATTGCAGATCAAGATGGGCAGCAGCAGGTTTCGTGTATCCTCCTTACCAGTTTCGGGAAGAGTTCCTACTTTGGAAAGGCCATCATTGGCGCCTCACGAATAGTGGGGAGAGAGAACTTTTGATGGGTTATGGTTTTGGTCACACGGAACTTGCTTGGTCGGCTAGTAAGATTAAAGGTGATCCCGCAGCTTATGAACGGGAACGGTGCTCATTGGTTGGCGATGCATTTAGCATCTATTCCTTTGTCATCATCGGGGCAGGTCTTTGTCGTAACTTCATCCCCACTATCCATTACCGCCATCTTTGCCAACGGATGGGATTAGCCCCCGGGTTTCGAGCTGCTTTACGTCTTCAAGCCCCCCTCGCTCGTAAACTTCAATACGGTTGTCAAAGCGTGGCAGAGGCTGATGGAAGGTTTCAGGTGAAGGATTTCAATCTCCTCTTGTTGGGTCGAACGAACTTTACGGGAAGTGATGTTAGAGTTGTCAGTGGCAACCTGATCAACCCGAGAGCCTTCCCGCGACAACCTGTTCGCTCATCTTGGTTCGTTTGGGAGAAAGGATTTCATACTTTTTGGCCTCGTCCGCAGCACATCAATCAATTGGAGCTCAAGACGGTTCTGTTGAGCGTACTTCGGGGCATTCGTTCACAGCATTGGACCGATAAGCGGGTTTTTCATCTCAGTGATTCTTACGTTTCTATCAGTGTGATCGCAAAAGGGAGATCCAGTAGCAAGATGCTTAATCGCTTGTTGAAAATCCTCAATGCTCACCTACTCCTTCACAATGTGTATCTGATCATGGGCCACATTGAGAGTACTGAGAACCCCACCGATGCCGAGAGTCGCCGTTAGAGTCATTCAGAAGCGAACAAGAGCTGAAAGGAAGGCGGCTCGACACGGCTTGAATTTGCGTGATGCGGGTATTACCATGAAAACTCGAGCGGCCTATGTTGTGGCGCTGGGTCTCCTACTCCCGTTTATTGAGTCCATCTCCAATGAAGCTGAACTTGATATGGCCTGTGCCGAATGGGTTGAGGCCTGTTGGGAAGATGGAGAGTCGCTCTACACAGTTGGCAACGCATTGTCGGCCCTCCACTTTTTCGAGCCCATCACCAAAAGAAAAATCCCCAGTGCGTGGAAACTGTTCGCTACATGGAAAAAGATGGAGTGGCCGGCGCGTGCGCCGCCGCTTACACAGGATATCATCTTGAGCATGGCATACTATGCATTGTGCCACAATGATCTGTTCTTCAGTTGCTTGCTCGCCTTGGGCTTTTATACCCTGCTCAGGACTGGCGAACTGTTGAAACTTCGTGGCCAAGACCTTCTGGTCAATTCATCTCAGCTGGTTGTATCTTTCAAAGATACTAAGACTGGCAAGCGTAACGCTGCCGATGAAATGGTCACTACAGATGAACAGTTCGCCGTGTTGATTGCAGGTACCGTTCATGATCTTCTTAGCTCCCATAATGCACTCCATAAAAGGTTGTGGGAGTTTTCAGGCCAGGCATTTAGATCCCACTTCGACTGTTACCTTCGGAAGTTCAAACTTCAAAGCTTGGGCTTTAGGCCATATTCCATGCGCAGAGGCGGCGCTACGTGGTTAGTGCAGAAGACAGGAAGCATGGAACTGGCCCTGCTCAAGGGCCGTTGGGCGAGTCATAGAGTTGCCAGGATTTACATTGCAGATGGCATCAGTAAACTTCCGGATTTGTTGTTGCCTCCTCGGACGAAAGAACTCCTGGCAGCCTGGGATCCTCGTCGCCTTGCAGTCGACGCCAAAGGGGCCCGTGGAAAAGGCGATCCACGTTGAAATAACACTAGTTGTTCAAAACAATAAGTTG